GTGAAATACTTAGTAAAATTGGCTCTGGAACCAAAAATTGTTGTCATGCTTTAAGAATTGATTGAATTGTACATACATGTGAACCAAGGGAATGCCCTTTCCTTTAGCTTGGAAAAAGGATTCAAACATCACAAGTATTGCAAACAGAAAAATTAAACGCCAGTTTCATGGTTCTCAAGTTTTGGAACTCATGTCTTCTCTACTTGTTCCTGCTCAGTCCCATGTATGTTTCTAGGAGGCATTGCCTGCACAAATCACATCATAAATAGATTGAGGAAAAGTCAGTGGCCCTTCAGTACTTCCTACAAGATGCAGTTACTAGAGTTCAATAATACCTATTGTTCAAGTCTTTAACACGAAAAACACAATAAAGAGAAATACTAATAACTCATAAAGAAAAGATAATGAAAAGACACATCTTGATGCTATAAGGAACAATAATTTAATATCTTTTTCTTTCTTAATATATTCGAAACCACCCACCGAACAAACAAGTCCCAATAGGGCATTTTATCAAACAGTTCATAGGAGATGGGAAAAGCCCCAGTACAAGCACAAGGAAACAAAACAACTCACAGCTGGGAACTTGTTACTGGTGTAACAAATGAGCATGTAGGTTTTGCCCACAGCTCCATCTCCCACAGTTACACATTTTATGAACTTTGAAGCAGTCATTCGTCTTAATATCCAAACATGCTAAATTTTATACAATGACCAACTCTCTAACTGATAAAAAGCATTCATATGGACTTCGAGGATGGAAAACCTTAATAGGATTCCAAATTCTAATTTGAAAAATAATTAAGGGCTTGTTTGTTTTTTATTCTCAAATTCTACAGTAAATCAATTCTCATTTTCAACCACACATTTTTCAATAAAATAATATTTTCCATCATATCAATACTTTTTTCTTTTTTTTTTCCAACCACACATTTCTCATCATATCATTATTCAAAAATCAATTCTTCCCCCAAAAATCCATACCAAACAAGCACTAAATTACTTAACCTAAAACTAATAACTTTATCGCAAGAAAGACATTACTTGACACTATTTGAATAGAGCATGTTCCTCTATCTTTGTCAATTATATATTTACTTGAAATTATCAGCATATTTAGCTACCTACCTTTTCAAAATGCATCTTCATAGTTCATAGGAATCTCATTAGCAGTATAATTATATGAATAGTTAACCATTACCCTTCGTTCGAAATTCGAAATCAAAATAGTACATACTAAAAAATTAAACCCACTTTTAATTCAGCAAATGAATGGTAGTGAACACTTGCTCAGACGCATTGAAAATTGCAATCAAAATGAATGCTAGCCTCAAATCTGCACGATCCATATATATAAAAATCTTTACATCCCAATTCGCAATAACGAATTTCTCCAAGAAATTATAAAATATCAGTGTCATATTTATTTATTTTTAAATGCATTCAGAAGTTATAATAATAATAAACCAAACCAAAGAGAAAAGATGGGCAATGAGTGGGAATGAAGCAAACTGTAAACTTTATCCTCTACCTGTAACAGTGGCCCACTTGAGCTCACTTCAGAATTGAAATCCAGAATTGAAGAGGCGGTGAAGTGGGTTCTCCCATAATTCAAACATTTTTAAAATATTGAATCAAAACGTTATAAAAACCGCAATGGGTTCTGACTAATTTTAAATAATTTAGACACTAAAAAGTGAATCAAATACAGATTCTGAGGCCAGAAAGCCGTAATTGTGTATGGTTAATTTGAGACCAAACCGAGTTCAAAGCACACACGTCTTGGTTTGGTGATGAATGTTTGGAAAGTCGGCAGAGATTGGCTCATATAAAGGAATCAATCGGATTACTTCATTGAATGGAAAATTAAACGTAAAAGTAAACATATCACACAGATTTGATTGAAGAAGAGCAATTAATGAAGACAACTTACAGAAAAATAGGTTAATATTACCTGATTTTGAGGTTACGGGTAGGGGGCAGGATCAACAAGTCGTGCTACAATTTTGACGGGCGACAGAGGAGCGGGAGGTGGAAAGGCGTCGGGAAATTGGAGGTGGACCGGTGTCGGAAACCTCCCTTACGGAGGTCATGGGAGATGTGGGTTTAGGGGGAGAAGAAAATGGAAATCAGAGAAAGGAAGGAAGGAAGTTCGGACACGGGAGAGGGGAGAGAGATGATAAATTCGAAAACGGTGTTTCCCGTGTTTTTTGAAATTAAACCTGTTTTGTACTGAAAATACTCAAAACATGATTTTGGACATTTTGCGTTTTCTGTACAATTTTTTTTTTATTTTTCAAAAATTCATTTTAAAAAATGAGTAAGAGAACGTATTTTCAATGTGCTGAAAAATCGAAAATCGAAAAAAGTATGAAAACAACAAAGAGAACAGTGACTAAGTTTTTAAAAATATTGACAAATAGGGGCGAATTCTCTTTATACTTTGCACTAAACGTGACCTAGTTATTTAAAAACAAAAAAAAAACAAAACAAAACAATAGTGTTCGAAATCCACAACATTAGCTGATGAATTGGATGTCAACTGGCGGGCACCTTAGCATGTAGAAACAGCTAAGACACGTGAGAGAGGGAAGGAGTGAAGTTATAGATCGGTATTGCTGTGAGAGGGTCCCACGTGTGATGCTGCCATCTATGAATGAGCTGATTGCCAGCTGTCACTACCACATTTATTTCGGATTCTACCCCTATCATTCTCCACCCGTTCTCGTAACTGTGTTATTATTTATGTCCATTAAAATTTATATTTTAATCAATAATTAATTTTAATAACTTATAATTCATATTTTTTTAATTATAAATTTCATCAATTTTTATTAAAATTTACTAAAAAAAAAAAATCTTAATTCCTGCTAAACAGAGAGTGTATTAGTGTTAGAAATCAATCATATCCAACTAACCAATTATTGATAGTAGAGGAAATCAAAGGATGGGTTCATTGACTTATTTATGATAAAAGTCATCATTTTTACTTAATATTACATTTATGTTACATTTTTTTGACATGCACACTTAATTAAATAATATATATCTAATTCCTTCTATTCAAATATGCTTTGAAATAATGAGCAAATATTACGCCTCATTTTGGATATGCTTACTTTCGTTTAAAATATTAAATAAGTCATTTATGTCGACTTAATTGACTTTTTGGATTGAAAAAGAGGAAAATTTTTCGATTTACATATAATATTATTTTATTGAAAAATATATACTTGAAAAAAAAAAGAGAAAAATATATTAAAATTTTAATGGGGGCAAAACGGTGAACAATTTGCTACATTTGAATTTATTGGAAGACCACAAAAAGCCAACCTTCACATTCAAGCATTATTATTCAGACAGAGATGGTTCTTCTTCTTCTTCCAATTTCTCTTTTTAAGCATCTATATATAATTAATTCCTTTGATTTGTGATTTTCTTTGTGTCTATATAGAGTTAAAAAAAATTATTGGGTGGAAGTGAACAATCAGAATTGACTTATTTATGATAAAAGTCATCATTTTTACTTAATATTACATTTATGTTACATTTTTTTGACATGCACACTTAATTAAATAATATATATCTAATTCCTTCTATTCAAATATGCCTTGAAATAATGAGCAAATATTACGCCTCATTTTGGATATGCTTGCTTTCTTTTAAAATATTAAATAAGTCATTTATGTCGACTTAATTGACTTTTTGGATAGAAATAGTCGTCAATGACTTGATTAAATAGAGCACTGAGGATAAGAATTCAGAAAAACAAAAAAAACATTAGAGATATAGGTGGGACAATGCGGCAAAAACTTGTAGTGACAATAAAATTACCCTTAATTAAATTGCAATAAAAATTTAAAGTATACGTACAGTTATAAAGGCATAAACCGAACTTCTAGTGACATTTTAGTAATTTTTGAATAATAATTTTTTTAAAAAAATGTGAATTTAAAAAAATAGGAAAAATTTAGGATTTACCTGAAGAATATTTTATTGTGAGAATAGGTAATTGGCAATTAGTATGAGAAAAAAAAAATAGAATTTTGAAAGAATGATAATCAAGTAGAGGCTAAATTTAAATATGGTTTCAAATTTTATATCTTTCCATCTCCCAAATTGATAATCTTTTTAGTTAGAAGCCATAGCGCAATGTATATTTTCACCTAATCTTCCATATGTGGTAACTTATATGTATTAAAAACATTTTAATACATATACCAGACTTAAGTCCCCATTTTTCGTTTTTAGTATGTCACATAGCGATTATGTGGAAAACCACTGATTATATAGCTGTTAATTTCTGTCAATGATCAAATTGAGATAAATTAAAATTTAGTAACCTGATTGAAATATTACTAAAAGATCAATGATCATTGATGAATTTACACTAATGATGAATAAAAATAAACCCCTATTTGATATCCATTAAAATGATTTTTTTTTTTTTGGAATAGTGATTTGATAAAGAACGTGTTGTTAAAAAATAGATAAAAAATTTGCTATATATTTTATTGTAAGAATGAAAGTTTTTTTAATGGTTGTTAAACATTTAATTCATTTTATTTAAATACAAATACAATTAATAGATACAAAAGACACAGTCCCGTTTGGCCACAATTATTTAAGATTATAATTTTTGGAATAATGTTTCTTTGAAAATTGAGTGGTTGAAAAAGAGGAAAATTTTTCGATTTACATATAATATTATTTTATTGAAAAATATATACTTGAAAAAAAAAAGAAAAATATATTAAAATTTTAATGGGGGCAAAACGGTGAACAATTTGCTACATTTGAATTTATTGGAAGACCACAAAAAGCCAAACCTTCACATTCAAGCATTATTATTCAGACAGAGATGGTTCTTCTTCTTCTTCTTCCAATTTCTCTTTTTAAGCATCTATATATAATTAATTCCTTTGATTTGTGATTTTCTTTGTGTCTATATAGAGTTAAAAAATTTTATTGGGTGGAAGTGAACAATCAGCAGATCAAAGATGGTGAATTATTGGAAATCCAAGGTTCTTCCAACGATCAAGAAGGTTTTTGATAAAAACGGCCACAAGAAGATTGCTGCAGCAGAAGCTTGCAAGTTCTTCGATGAGGCTAAGGTAGAAACCCTTATTTATTTTTAAGAATGAATACCTAGTAATTGTCTTCGACAACTCCTTGATTTACGGTAGTTGATTTTTTTTGTTGGATTCAGGAGCAATATACAAAAGAGTTTGAAGAGAAGAAGACTGAGCTTCAACCAAAAGTTGTAGAAATCTATGAAGCGTCATCCACTGAAATCAAGGTACCTGATATTAAGATTTGACATTCCACTTTAAAAGGTCGATGTGAGATTTTTAACCTTAATATGTATGTCGATAATTCTTTGATGCGTTTGCCACACCCGTCTTGAAATTCAATTTCTCGAATAAACTTTAAACAAATCGAATAGTTTGTTTTGAGTTATGATATCATGTTAAGACCTGGGTCTTCACGCAAACTTGATATTTTTTGAATAATCTTTATTACTGCAGACTTTGGTGAAGGAACCCAAGGAGGCAGGTCTAAAGAAGCATTCAGCAGTAGTTCAGAAATTCCTTGATGAGCTAGCCAAGATTGGTACTTAGACTATACTAATTAATTTGTGAACCTGCATATTTTTATCATGATTAATAATCTAGTTTTTCCTTGTCATTGAAAGAATTTCCGGGAACCAAACCAGTGTGTGAAGCAGCTTCCAAAGTAGGGCCTGCATATTTACCAGGTCCGGTTTTCTTCGTGTTTGAGAAAGTCTCTACGTTTATAGTCATGGAGGAGAAAAAAGAAGAGGCCGCACCACCAGCCGAGGCTACTCCAGAGAAAACTCTTGGCACAGAAGTGAAAGAGAAGGATATTGTTGTGGAAGAAGCGAAGAAAGAAGTACCAGCTGCTGAGGCCGGTGCTTGTGCAACCACGGCTGAGCCACCAAAGGTTGAAGAAGTACCTCCACCTGCTCTAGGGGCAGAGCCGGCAAAGCCTTGATGAAAGTAGCCAAAGTTGAGATCAGCTGTATCCCTGGTAAAATTTTGACACCTCACTGCATTAACTCTTGTAAGCAAAAAGGTCGACTAATCATTGAATCATATCAAAATTTTAGTGGACAGCAGATTTCAACTCGAGAAGCCTGGCTGATGGCCTATTACTTTTACAATATATTGTTTGAATGAAGACAAAAGATGATGTGTTGTATATTCTTTGTTTTTTCTTTCTGCTGCTCCTTTGAATTGTAAAAAACCATTGAAATTTGAACATTTCGTTTATGTTGTGTATTATTGTGCATTGTACCCACAGCTTGGCATTTACACACATTAAAGAAAATAAATTACTGTTCTATTGGTTGTTATTTTCATTTCATCTCTCAGTGTCATGTTACTCAAATATGTTTCGAGAAAAATGGAACTTCTTTTTGTTAAAGAACATTTTCAAAATGGCCCAAACAACATGAAGGTAATATGTTGGGAAACAATAAACATTAGGAAAAAATAAAATACAATAAAATATAAAAGACGACCAAGCCTAGGAGTTTATGTAGCAATGGATTTTTGGATCGTCTTCATTATTCTTTAGTAGAATTTATGAATAGATTACCTATTTTATTGAATCTGTTGCTCCTCGTCTTCGAGGCTCAAAAAGACGATGCCACGTAGGTAGAAAGTCAACAAGAAAATCAAATAAAGACCCATGATGCCAAAACCCGAAGAAGACAAACAAGGCCGAAGTCCTTACACCACAGGCCGAAGTCCTTACGCTGCGAGGACGAAATCCAAGCTGAGGCATTACGTCGAAGACGAAGCTGCCTGAGGAAGCAAAGAAAGAAGCTGAAGCTCCCCACTTAGAGAACCACTTCGAAGATTCCTCCGAGGCTCTCAACCCGTCCGAAGCTCACAAGGCTGATGCTTTTTCTTGTAACAGATTCGAACATCTTCTAAAAGTGATTGATGTAACACTTGTAATAAAGTTTGTCAGTAAGTCAGCTTATTGTATAAAGCGGCTGACCTCTTATCAAAGTATTAATTATATGAATCGACAGTGATGTGACCTCCCAATTAAGGAGATGATGCCACGTGATTCTGATCCAACGATCACCACGTCGACCAAGATAGTATAAATATGTTTTCTTTGTAACTTAAAAGGGGTTGGATTATTGATTAGAATGGAGACAATCAAACATATTGAAAATACACACTTGAACTCTAGAAAAAAATATGCAAACACTTGGGCTTGTTTTCTATCTTCTTTGTATGCTTGAGAGTTGTAAATCTCGATGTACAAAGTAATGATTTCAATGCATATTACATCTATCCTTCCACATATTCCCATTTATTATTACATAAGCTAGTTTGATTTTAACTTAGTGATCATTGTTAGCACGATTGCTTTTGTTCTATTCGCCGGAACTTGAACATTTTTGTCTTTCGCTGCAAAGTACTTCCCACGTCCATCTCCTCTTTGCTACCATCGCCATTTTGGTAGGAACGTGCCAGAATCGTACTTGATTTGACGTGAGTGGGCCCAGAATCTATTGGCTCATTTTCAGGGGTCAACAGATTGGCACCGTGTGTGGAAAATCTTACAGTTATCCACGAAAGTACTTGTCAGAAAAGGCCAGTTAAAAGTATTTTGGCAAGAAAGTTCCAACCCTTGAAAAAGTGGAGTTCTTGAAGAAAGAATCATTTGAGGACCTAAAAAATCCAACACTTATTTGATCCTTGAAAAAATGAAAATCTGTTGAGAGAAGTGTTTGTGAAAAATGAGCTCAAGTGGTAACGAAAGTACACCTGAAGGACAAGGGAACACCCTGAAGAAGGGGAACCCTCACGAGCTGCCCCAGCTGCTTGCCAACGACCCCGACCCCCACAACATAGGCGAGGTAGGTCCAGAGGCGGAGGCAGGGTGACAGCTAGGCTTACCAAAAAAATGGAGACAATGGCTGCCAACATGAGAAATATAACCCAGCAAACCATGGTCATACATGAAACGTTGATGAGCATGCAGGGTCGAAGAGGGTCTCTGCTGGATACCACCATGCTAGCCTGGAAGTACCCTAGGAAATGGAGGTTAAGGTCGATACATCAACCAATTATACTTCGAAACGACCTTATAAGGCTCCATACAACTTCCCTTCGAACTATGAGCTAGAAAATCGACCACAAAGGTCAATCAGTGTCTTCGACATGATAAGCCCGAGGTTGCCTAGAAATAGGCAGGCTCATTTACCCCATGCACGTAGAAATAGGGAATCTCATCCTCATCCTCATATGCCTAGAAATAGGCAACAAGAACCTCTCCAGTATGGAAGACAACAACCTGCCTCTTAGGAAGAGCCTCAGATCCCTCCCCCTAGAAATAAGCGCGAGAGAAGGGACTGGGCTAAGAGTGAAGCAAGACCCTCCCAACCACCTCTCCAAACCTACCAAGGGAAGGATGACGACTCTGATGAACCCAGAGTTCCACGACCTTGACGACAACGATGACCATTCGCTGTTTTCAGAAGCTATTAGAAATGCCCCAATGCTGAACCACTTCACACTCCCTAAAATTCCTAAGTACGATGGGAGAGGTGACCCCTCAAAGCACATCAACAACTTCAAAACTCAGGTATGAAGTGCACAGTCTTTCACTTGACCTTAAGTGGAGGAGCTGAAATCTGGTACACAAGGTTGCCAGAAGGTAGCATCCGGAGCTGGTCGGACCTCAAAAAGACGTTCTTAAAGCACTTTGCTACTAGCAAAGAGGGTGAAAAGCTCATTCAACAGTTACAAGACATGCGACAACAACATAGCAATAAGATATCAGATGAAACTCAATCATTTAAAGTGTGCATTTGGAGTTTCTTAAGGAAAGTTCTTGGGCTACATCGTCAACCAAAGAGGCATTGAAGCGAAACCTGGAAGGTCAAAGCTTTGATTGAAATGAGGTCACCTTAAAAATCGAGAAAGAGGTACAAAGCCTCACTGGATGAGTAGCAGCCTTGAACTGCCTCGTCTCCAAGGCAACGAATAAGTACCTACCTTTCTTTAAAATACTCAAAGGAGGAAACAAGTTTCAATTGATAGAGGAGTGTGAGGTAGCCTTACAAGAGCTGAAGAAGCACTTGAGACAGACTCCCCTTCTCTCCAAACCTAGAGATCACGAGCCACTACAGTTGTACCTGGAAGTGACTTCCGAGGCCATCAGCTCGATTTTGATAAGAGAAGAGAATGTCCGTCTATTTTATGTCAGCGAAGCACTTTTGGCAGCAGAGACTTACTATCCAGACATGGAGAGATTAGCCTTTTCTTTAGTGTCCGTCTCAAGAAAATTGAGGCCATATTTCCAAGTTCATAGTATATATGGGTTGACAAACTTGTCCCTTAAGTAGGTGCTGTAGATGCCTGCTGTTTCAGGAAGGTTACTAAAGTGGCCTGTGGAACATATCGAGTTTGACCTTGTTTTTAAACTAAGTGCTACCATCAAGGGCCAGGCCCTTGCAGATTTTGTGGCAGAATTCTTCCCCATCTTAGAAATGGAAGAAGTGATGGAACTCGTCGAACCTCCAATTTGGAACCTATCAGTTGACGGATCCTCAGGAGAGACAAGGTTAGGAGCTGGGGTTGTTTCAGTTAGTCCAGAAGGACATAAGCTTACTTGTACTATGAGATTTGATTTCAATGCTACCAACAATGCAGCAAAATACGAGGCCCTCCTCGCTAGCCAAAGGTTAGCCAAAGAAATGCAAGTAAAGAGGCTCATCATTAGTAGTGACTCACAACTAGTAGTAAGTCAGGTTCATGGTAATTTTTCAGCTAGAAATAAGTCTATGGCAGCATATATAAAATTGGTTATGAACTTGATCCCTTCATTTGAAAGTTTTGAGCTTGTACAAATTCGACTTGCTGATAATGTCCATGCCGACACACTGTCTAAATTAGCAAGCAGTAAAGATTCTGAACTACTCACATTTGTGCCTGTAGAATATCTTTCTGGCCCTTCCATCGTCGCTGGCGAGATGGTTATGTGGGTTGAGGATAGTCAAGCTTAGATAAAACCAATAATATCTTTCATCAAATAGCAGACCTTCCCCCTAGCCAAAATCACTGAGGCCAACACTTCCAAATTCTTATGGAGAAACATCATTTGCAGGTTTGGAATTCTCCATTCAATTATATTAGATAATGGCAGATAGTTTGACAACAAGAAGGTTAGAAACATGTGTGAGAAGTTGGGCATCAATAAACATTTTTCCTCTCCACATCACTCCTGGCAAATGGGCAAGTTGAGGCTGTTAACAAAATGATCAAGTATACATTGAAGAGAAAGTTGGATGCCTCTAAAGGGGCTTGGGTCGATGAATTACCTCAAGTACTCTGGGCTATCAGAACTACGTGCAGAACTACTATGGGAAAGACCCCATTCTCTATGGCCTACGTGGTCGAGGCTATGAGCCTTGTTGAAGTAGGTCTATCATCTCCTCGATAAATGCACTTCAATGAAATAACTAATGAAGAAATGAGGAGATGTGAGCTTGACCTCCTTGAATAAATGAGGGACAATTCTCAAGCAAAACTGGCCGTGTATCAAAGAAAAATGACCGGTACTACAATTCAAAAGTAAAAAAGAAGTCATTTCGTTTGAGCGAATTGGTACTTCGAAGGATGTTCCCATCCTCTAAAGAACATGGCTCTGGAACCCTAGGTCCAAACTGAGAGGGTCCCTATCGTGTCTATGAAGAGGTTGTTATAAAGTCAATATGTATGACCAGCTTACACTTGTAAAAAATTACAAGTTTGGGTAAGTTCTGAACTTTGTTGTTAGGTCAAACCTCCTAAAACTTGTAAAATATTTGCAAGTTTGATTATGTTACTAAAGTTCATAATGGAATGAGTCTGACCTTATCACATGTTATTAAACCTCAATGCTCATAAATTTGATATAGTCAAAGCTTTCGAAGTTGTTGTATGTCTATTGTTATTATCAAGTTGATGTTACTTTAAGTTTGATTT